TTTTTGTGTGTGTGTACCATCAAATCAGATCTGACTGGTACAGGAGGAGATTGTCCTTCCTTCCCCGGCAGAGCATCTGGTGGATTTGAACCGTTCGCCTCTGGGATTGTAGTTGCAGCTCCTTGCCACTAGGCTACCAGGGCTCCCCCGCAATTCATCTTTTTATTTTCTAACTATTAATGCCAAGAGTGTTGATTGTGAAGCCAGGCAACTTGAAATTATTAGCAATCTCAATCTCTTCTCTATTGATCATGGTGCTGCCAATTGGCCCAGTGGTGAGAATCTTTGTTTTCTTGATACTGAACTTCAATTTATATGGAGATTGCAGTCCTTGACCTTCTGCAACAGATGCTTTAGATCCTCCTCAGTCTTGGCAAGCAAGGATGTGTCATATGTATAATGCAGTTTGTTCATGACTCTTCCTCCAGTTCTGATGCCTCATTCTTCCTCATAAAATTCAGCTTCCCACATGAGCTATTCTGCATATAAATGGAAAAGGTATTGAGACAGGATGTAGCCCTGATACACTCTTCCTGATTTTGAACCATTCAGTGTTGTCTTGCTCTGTTGCTCAGGAGAATAATTTAATTTTGATTGTGGCTTCTAGATTAATGATTACCAGTGTTTCTCAGTTTTTTGGCAGCCACTCAGTCTGCTTTGAAGTTCAGTTCAACTTTAGGGAAGAGAGTGATTATGACCTTTATGAATTCTTGATCATGTTTCAACATTTTAGATATTGAGATGGATCTTTTACAGTCTTTTTCTTCTCTTAAAAATCAGATTAAGCTACATTATTCTGGTTCATGCTTCTTTTTATGAATCTTCATCATTGAAGAGTTGCACATGAGGCAGCTTCACTATGCTTTATACAATCTGATCTAAACTTTTGAAAAGCTTCTGAATAAAATTCATATGGAAAGTGTCAAAGTCATAACTGATTAGTTTGGTGACATATTACAGACTTGACATGCTTGTGAAAACCAAGACCCAGGCAAGAACGAAAACCTCAGCCAAAAAACCCAACACCCAAAAAACCATGGTCCCAGAGACTGCCGCAAGCATTTTCCCATCCTGCTGCTTCTCAGACTCTAATTTTGCCTGATTTCTAATTTGATATTAATTCAAGCACAAAGAATGTTCTTTTGCATCTTTTGCTCAGGGTAATGCTTGATTTATACATGTTAACGTATTATTAATGTGATTTATCCATGTTACTGCTACCTGGCTAACTGATTGGAAGAGGTGCATATTGGTTTCCATTCCAAAAAATGATCCAGCAGAGTGCTGAAATCATCACTCAGTATCATTAATATCACATGCAAGTAAAATCTGAAAATTTTTAAAAAACTGTAGAACATAACGGAGCCTTAGTAGCCTAGTAGTAAGGAATTGTGCTGCCAACTGAAAGGTGCATGGTTCGAATCCATCAGCAGTTCAGTGGAAGAAAGATGAGCCATCTCTTCCTTTGTGACTTAGAGCCTGTGAAAATCCACTGGATGGTCAGTGAGTCAGTTTAGACTCAATGGCAATAAGAATTTTTTTTCTTTTTTGAGGGATGGTACGTAAATGTGATTATAACTCATTCTTCTATCTGCTCTTTGAGCTGACTCTAGCAAGTTGTGAGTAGACTTGAAAAATCAGTTTCCAAGAATACAGAAGTCAATTGATTATTGGAAGGTTGACATGTGATAGTTACAAGTTTTAGAGATGAGAAACTGAGGTAGAGCCCTGGTGGGTAACCAAGGAGCTGCTGACTGAAAGGTGGGCACCTGACCTTAGCCAGCTACTCCACAGGAGGGGTCTCTGACCGCCTGCTCTGGTGAAGAGCATGGGCTTGCCGACTCTCTGGGGCAGTTCTGCTCTGTTCCGGCGGGTCACCATGAACTGGAAGCGATTTGATGGCATTGGGTTTGGTTTGTTCATTCATTTCATTTTACCAGGAGGAAGATTGTGAGAAAGCCTTTTTCAAGATGGACAATGTGCTGATTGATGACAGAAGAATACATGTGGATTTTAGCCAGTCGGTGGCTAAGGTTAAATGGAAAGGAAAAGGTATGCTGCTTTATCTTCTTTTATTTCCATTCGCGAGCGCGCGCGCGCGCGCGCGCGCGTGTGTGTGTGTGTGTGTGTGTGTGTGTTCCTTCAGTCTTTCCACTGAAGAAATGATATGACTTGCTTACGTAACTTATTTACAGGATGACTTTTTAATGAATTCTTCATGTTTTTATCTACAGTAAAATGTCGAGTAGGAGATGCTCCAGGTTCATGTGCCGTCACAAACACATGTTTTATTGCTCATCGCAGTTGAAACTGGAATGTGTACTATGCCATTTTTAAGAGCAGCTCCTTCCCCTTGCTGTGCAGTCACACATGACTCCTAGTGATCCTGTGAACAACACACCTGCACCCTGTCCTATGCTGTGCCATCCTTACCATCCCTGACACCGCTGAGCCCGTGGCTACAGTCAGTGTGTCTGTCCATCGGCTGAAGGTCTTCCTCTCTTGCTGATCTTCCACCTCTCCAAGCATGATGTCCCTTCTCCTAGTTGTTGTTAGGTGCCAGCGAGTCGAGTACAACCCCTAGACCCGATGAACAACAGAGCTGAAGCCTGTCCTTTCCTGTGCCATCCTCACACTTCCTGACAAATTAGAGCCCACTGTGGAAGTCACTGCAAATCCACCTGACCGAGGGTCTTCCTATCTTTCACCGACCCTTTGCCTTTCCAAACATCATGTCCCTTTCCATGCAGCATACCTGTAGGATGTGAGCTGAAGCCTCATCCTTGCCTCCAAAGAGCAATCTGGCTGTACTTTCTCCAAGATATATTTGTTTGTTTTTTAGCAGTCCATGGGCTGTTTAGCACTCTCCTCTTAACACTGTGGCTCAGAGACATCAATAATTGTTCAGTCATCCTTATTCATTGTCCAGCTCTCAGATGCATAGAAGTGATCAAAAAGACCATAGCCTGAATCAGATGCACCTTACTTCTCAAACTGACATCACCACTCCTCAGTAATATGGAGAGGTCCCTAACTGTAGACGTTCCCCCATGCAATACGTGTCCTGATTTCCTGACTGCTGGTACCAAGAGTGTTAACTATGGATTCAAGTAAGATGAAGTTGGTGACAGTTTCAGTCTTTTCTCCATCCATCATGATGCTGCTTATAGGTCCAGTGGTTAGAAGCACTGTTTTCTTCATGTTATATGCAGTCCATATTGAAGGGTCTGTTCTTTGATCTTCTGCAACAAGTGCTTCAAGTCTTCCTCATTTCAGCAAGCAAAGTTGTGTTATCTGCATAATGCAAATTATTGACGAGTCTCTTTCCAATCTTGATGTTGCACTCTTCTTAATAGAGTCTGACTTCTCGTATAATTTGCTCAGCATACAGATTGAATACGTGTGGAGAAAGAATACAACCCTGACACACTCCCTTCTTAATTTTAAACCATATAATGTTCCCTTGCTCTGTTCGCACAACAGTCTCCTGGTCTAGCCATAGGGAATTTTATTTCTTTTTTATGAGAAAGGAAGAATGGTGTTTCATTCATAGTAAAAGAAGTCAATTTCAAGTTCTATCCTGAAGTACAGTGTTATGAATGAAGGGATACTATCCATATGCATACAAGGAAGACCCTTAATATGACTATTATTCAAATATATGCTCCTTCATCTAGAACCAAAGAGAAAGAAATTGAAATGTTTACCAAATCTTGCAGTCTGAAATTGACTGAACATGCAGTCAAGATACATTAATGATAATTGGTGACTGGAATGTAAAATCTGGAAACAATGAAGGAATAGAAGTTGGAAAATACAGGCTTGGAGAATGGTTGAATTTTGTGTTTTCAAGAATTTATTAATGACAAATACATTTTTTAAAAGATACCAATAGCGACTTCACAGGTATACCTCACCTGATGGGTTGCCTAGGAATCAGATTCACTACATCTGTGGAAGGAATCACTGGAGAAGCTCAATATTGGCAGTCAAAACTAGACCAGGGGCAGATTGTGGGTCAGACCATCAGTTACTTATGTGCAAGTTCAAATTGAGGCCAAAGAAAAGTAAGTCCACGAGAACCAAGATAAGATCTTGAATCTGTTCCATCTGAATGTCAAGATTATGATAAGAATAGGTATGAAGTGTTGAACACCAGTGATCGAATACCAGCTGAGTTATAGGATGATAAGGATATCATCCATGAAGAGAGCAAAAGATCATGAAAATACAGAGAAGAAAAACAACAACTCTGAAATGGAGGTCAGAAGAGACCCTAAAAATTGCACTAGAATGTTGCAAAGCCAAAACAAAAGGGAAACATACCAAAATAAAATAGCTGAATAGATTTCAAAGGGCAGCTCAAGAAGACATGGCAGAGTATTGTAATGGAATGTGCAGAGAGCTGGACTTGGAGAATGAAAAGGGAAGAACTTAACTGTACATTTCTCAAGCTGAGAGAACTAAAAAACAAATTTAAACCTCGAGTCTCAATTTTGAAAGATGCTATGGGTAATATATTGAATGACCCAGAAAGCATCCCCTGGTAGGCTTCTTTAATTATTGCAACAACCCTGTGATGCACAGATACTATTTTTAGTAAACAAAACCGGTTTCAGAGATGTGAACTAGTTAGGAGTTGAAACCAGACCTACTCACTTTAATCTGTAGTCCTTAAATCTCTTATCCACAGCAAGATACCAAATGACAAGTACTTGGTAAATGTTTTTTACAATGATAAAATGAAGCTTGTTTAATATTTTAATTCTCACAGTGGTCTGTTTCACTTCTATAAGAAACATTGACTACTGACTCCTTTTTTTAATTCCAAAGCCTCTACAGTTGCCAAGTATATAAATCTCCTCTTTGATACTTGCTCCTTCCCTTTTTTTGTTTTTGTTTTCCTCTTCCTTAGAAGACCCTGACCGTAATGAAGATGTATATGTTGTTATGGTACCACAGTGTGGAACTCACCCATAGCTGACCCTCCAGATGGTTTTCAGACAGTTAATCACAGGAGAGGAGACTGCCCATCTTTCTCTTGCAGAGCAGCTGGTGGATTTGAACTGTGGTCCTTTGAGATTACAGGGCAGTGCCAGAATATGTATGGGATTCACAGCAGAATAACTCTTTGTATCCCTCTGGTTTACCTTACTTAGACTTTTATTTAATCTTGGTTCTTCTACTAGAAGCCTTTGCACAAAAGACATTTCCTAGTGGTAGGTGAAGGATGGGAAGAGGAGGCCTACAGGGCTGGTGTGTGGTTAAGAACACAGTCCTCTTCCTGTCGGCTAGACTTGTGGGTAGATGAAGCTCTGCCCTGCTGGCCCTGCTCCTGGAGGCCAGCCAGGCTAGCACAGTGGAGGCCAGCCAGGTAGTGATACTGGGCCCTCTTTTTTAAGACCTATTCTTTGTCCATTTGGTTTTTGGCTCTTGGAAGGAATGAAAGTGCTCATAAACCAGAATTTAAAGCAGAGACAGCTTATCTTTGAGGCTGTTGCTGGCCCTTTCCATTCCCATCTGTTTGGTGAACTGGCCATGTCCTTAATTGTCCCTGCCTGCTTGATGTTCTATTGAGATTTAGGGGCAGAGTTAAAACATTACATCTTCCTTAATGTTCAGTCTTTTAGGTCTCACACTCAGAGTCCAGTCCCTCAGTTTTCTGTAACTTTTAATGTTCTCTACTTAAATGCTGTTATTTTTTAGTAAATGTGTTCAATGTGTGAATTTGGAATTTGATAATGGATGTTGTAATACTCATTTATGTCATTAGGTGGCAGCATATGGCTAGCTAGCAAAATAGATGGCCTATTTCATAAATGAATAATGGAGCATGAATTGTTCTAATTATATTTGTTCTCTTCCCAGCCTGTTCTGTCTCTTGACATATTTATGATTTAATATATATTGTTTATAAAGTAGGCTCATATATTGTACTTATGATAGTTATTTTTGATTGATTGGGTAGTTGTTCTTACCAAGTTCTTTTTTTCTTTTCTTAATAATAGGTGGGAAATACACCAAGAGTGATTTCAAGGAATATGAAAAGGAACAGAATAAACCATCAAATTTGGTCCTGAAAGATAAAGCCAAGCCCAAACAGGAGTATCCTTTTAAAAAACGAGTTAGTCAACATGTTGAGTATTATGAGATAACTTTAAAAAGTTACCAAGGCTAGAGGAGATGAGGTCTGCATTCAAGGCTATTTGTGAAGAAATTATTTCATTTATAGGCAGGACCTGAGTGTTGAGTGAAATCTGTTCCTAACCAAGTCTTTAGAAACATCTACATCAATGGGACCGTGCATATGGGTTTGTTTTTTTTTTTTAAGTGCATATGATTCTTAATGCAGCCTTGCTTTAGTGCTAGAAAAGACTGGAAGCCTTTTCAGTGATTTAAAAGTTGCATTTGCAGCAAGTGATTGTGATGAAGAATTGTGAGTAGGATTGTTTTAATCATTTCAGACTGAAGGTAAATTAGCATCACATTAAAGCACAATAGGAGTTGTCTGTAAGTCAGGGCTCAGTAACCCAAGAGACAGCCTATCGTGTTAATACGTTTTGGTGTTTTACATGTGCTTTCATTTTTTTCATTTTCTATTTGGAGAAAGCTGAAAGAAAAGTTGTGCTTAATTCACTGGTGACCTTGTGGTACGGAGCTGCACTGCAATCCCAAAAGACACGCGGTTCAAACCCACCAGCTGCTTCATGGGAGAAGAGTGGACAGTCTCCTCCCATGTGATTAGCTGCCTCTGCCAACCCCCGGGAGGGGCAGCTGTGGGTCTGTTCTGACTCAAAGGCTCACGACAACAACTTTTTTAAAAAATTATTTTATTCTTATTAATTTTAATGAAAATTTACAGAGACTTTGGATTTCCATTCACTCATTGTTGCACTTTTCTCCCTGCTCACCCCTGGCAACAACTCTTAAGGTTATAGGTGAACATTTTATCGTACTCAAAAAAATCAAGAAGCTGCGCTGCAATCCCAGAGGTGCGTGGTTCAAATCCACCAGATGCTCTGCCGGGGGAGGAGGGACAATCTCCTCCTGTACCAGTCAGATCTGATTTGACGGTACATGCACACACACAAATAATAAAAAAATGATTTGTATTTTCTGTGTATAATTATAATAGTTTAGAGTCCATAAAGCCAATTCCTTGCTTGCTAAGCTGATTAAGGCCCTCGTGCTCCCTCTGCCCTCCTGTTTAACTTCCTTGGAGATGGTAGATATCCAGATACCAAAGGCCTGCCGTTCTTACAAGCCTGGACTGTGTTTCTCCTCAGAGTTCGTTGTTAGCGGTCTGCACCAGATACTTATCAGGTTCCTCTTGTGTGCGAGAATCAACTTTCATGAGATGAAAACGAAATTCATTGCCTTGACCAGCTCAGGTCCTTCCAAGTTTTAGGTTGAGACAAGTAAGAGGCACTAAAACATCCTGTTCCTATTATGTCACTTTACACTTACTCACTGATATTCTCAATAGAAGAATATCTCTCCACACATTGCAAAGGTTATTTCTTTTGTGATTTTTTTTCCTGATAAATGGTTTCTTTGTTTCCAAGTTTCTGTTCATGTGTCAGAGGTTGTATTTCCCCTGTACTCTGTAGACATTTCTTTTCCAAATAACTCATCAGGGAAAGATGAATATCAGGTTGACCTGTTATATTTTCAGTTAAAAATGTGTGTTGACTTTCCACTGTGCATGAAGCATTTTGAGTGGCTAGAGCTGGTAAAATTCAGAGTACACCGATGTAATCAGCCTGAGGGACCAGCTTCCACTTGCAGACAAGCTAAGACTCGGTCTGAAAAGATGCACATTTGAGGAGATAGGATTAGAATCTCAAAATTATAAGGCATATGTGTAGAATACATTGTGGAGATTTATTTACCAAATCTCTGACATTAAACTTGGCCCAGCCACAAGTCACAGCAGCTGAAGAAGAGGAAATACAAATGCAAGAAAGTGCAGTTGTGTTGGGTCAAACAGCAGCAGCTTTTCCTTCAGAGGAAGGATAGGCTGAAAAGAGAACATAAGCCTTATTAGGTCAAGGACTGTAGTCTGCAACATGGATGGAAACACAACATCAAGAAGACAAAGATTCTCACCACCAGGCCAACTGGCAGCACCATGACAAATGGAGAAGAGACTGAGGTTGTTAATAGTTATAGCTTGCTCGGCTCCACAAACAACATTCTTGGCACCAGCAGTCAGGAGATCAAAAGATGAATTGCATTGGGAAACTCTGCTGTCAGTGACCCCTCCAGAATGCTGAAGAGCAACGATGTCAGTCTGGAGACCAAGATGGACCTGACCCAGGACATAGTCTTCACTGTTACTTGCTGTGCATCAGAGAACTGGACAATAATGAAGGATGATAGAAAAAGAATTGATGCCTTTGAATTCTGGTGCTGGAGAAGAGTCTTGAACATACCATGGACCACCAAGAAAACAAATAGGTCTGTCTTGAGAGGGTGAAAGTAGGAGAGGGAAATTTAACATGGTAATACTGCATAAAATTTAGAGACAGAGTTGGGCAAAAGAGGTCAGTAAGATCAGAACTAATGTTTTATCCCAAGAAGTTTGGAGGGATTTGGCATCTTTTTAATAAAGGCTGCTTGTAGTGGTGAGAAGATAAATATGGAAGAGATATAGCATCTGGGTGATAGAGGAAATAATCACCACTTATTTAATATCTTTTGCTTAGCCAATTATCGGTGACATTAACCCCTAGCCCACATGGAGCTTACAGTATATGCTTGTGAGGGTGGGGTTAGAATGTACAAGTATTATGTAATTGCATTAATTAACATATTTGTCAATTATGAAAAAGAAATACATGGTGATATGTTATGTTATTATAGGAGTAGAGATCCCAGGAAAACCCTAAAATAACACTCACATTAATTAACATATTTGTCAATTATTAAAAAAGAAATACATGGTGATATGTTAACGTTATTATAGGAGTAGGGATCCCAGGAAAGCCCTAAAATAACACAGAACTGACCCTGAAGCTCAGACCTGAATGTAGAAGCAGAAAGCCTGAGGGGGTGTGTTGCCTTTATTTTAAAAAAGCCCAACTATGAACCTTTATCTAAGAACCAGTTTGTTCTGAACTCAGTGCAGAATCAGTACAATCAGACAGTACACACATAGAAACTAACAGAAATTCAAAGAATAAAATCTTAGGTCCCATGTACTTTATTTTCTGTTCAATATTTTTTTTAAAAAAAATACTAGCTGTGTGTGACAATGAATAAAAAAAAAATAGTAGCTATAACTGAAGGAGCTTTCAGCCATTGATGCATTCTGTTCCTCAGCTGGAAAACACTGTTGTAAAGCATTTGGGGCTCATTAGGATGAACATGTAAACAGGCCTGTAGAGTCGTGTCTGAGGAAGGAGGAAGATCTGGTTGAAACTTTGGAAGTAGAGTAACATCCTATAAAGGAGAGAAGAAATGGGCGATGCTGGAAGAGTAATAGGATGGCAGGACTGACTAGCTGTCTTTGACCTAATTGTGTAAAGCTAAAAGGAATGATGCTTTCCTATTTGATTTCCCTTAGAAGTGGGACCCCTCTGAGGAAGCCTTCCCTGCGCTCCCCCTACCCGACTGGAACAGCCTTGTGTACTGAGTGTTCTCATAGGCTTTCTATGCCAGCCTTCCACAAAGTCTCTTTTAGTCTTTGAGATAGTTTCAGCAGGGGCTTTAGTAGTTGCACATTGTCCTTTTTTCTAAACATTGTATTACTTTATGGAGAATGCATACTTCTGAATTAAATATACATTATTTATAGCACCTTTTGATGAAATAAATGAGGCTAGAGCATCACTAAGTTCTCCCACCTAGATAGATTATGCATTTCTGTCTCTTGTTCCTTTTGAGTCTTTTTTTCTTTATAAAGTTTTGTAAATTATATATGATAATACAGTTTTAACTTAAGCTGTCTTCAGTTCCAATTTTTTATAAATACTTTTCCAGATTTTATTCCATAGCACTCATTTAACATTTAAAAAAGAGGGGATAAATAATGTAGACTGCATTGAAATAGTTGGAGAGAACAGTTTAAAAGGAATATATGATTAGGTATTTTCATGACAGAGTCCAGAATGAGAGTTGTACAGTAAAATGGACTGGGAGAGGATTGTATAACAATGAAAGAATTTTTTTTTTTCTTTTCAAAGACAACAGTGAACTGGGGGAGGAGGGGTGGGCAGGGAGAAAAATGTGCAACAATGAATAAATGAAAATCCAAGTGGTCTATAAACTTTAATTAAAATCTCAATTAAAAAAAACAAACAAACCCAAAATACCTTCCTTATAAGTACCGAAAAGTGCTTACATATATCTTTTATTATAGAGCATTTTGTTATTTTCAATTTCTTATCTTAAAAGTAATCCTACTCACTTTTATTTTTTTACTTAGTTACTTATTGTTTTAATTTTTAATATTAGGTGAGAATTTTATAAAACCTTGATAACTGTTGTTCTGTATTAGCACATTCTCTCATATGGAACTGAACTAATGTCTGTTTTTTAAGAAAAAGAACCTTATGATTGTGCTGTGTTCTTATCTTTATTTCTGGGGATGGAAAGTTGGGGGGGTTGTAATACTTTTAGTTTTCTATATGAGTTAGTGCCTGAGCTTTCTAAGTTTACATTTTTTTTCTTTACTGAGGAATGCCTTTTCTTTCTTTTTATGATAGTTGTATTTTCACTTGTGGGTATCATGATGTTGGGGTCCCCCCACCCCTATAAATATAGTTTTTGTCCTTTTACCAGTTGGCGACTGTTTATAAATTAGAGTCCTTTCCATTTCACCTGAATGAAATGAAAGAAAGTATGACTTTTCCTAGGAATAAACTTGGATTTTTTTTTGTTTGTTTAAGAAGTTAGCTTTAGCCTGATGACCTTCTTTGTTTAGCAGAGTCTTGTGTTTTTACAAAAACATTCCATTGTACTGTCAAGGCCACTTCTTCTGTCGGTCCTTAACTGCTGCAGTGCAAAATATGATCTTGTGTTAGAGGACGATGCAGAAGACTCAGTGCCAAGTCACTCTCACACAAGCAAGAAACACAAAAAGAAAACCCATCATTGTTCTGAAGAAAAGGAAGATGAGGATGACATGGCAATCAAAAACCCTAATCAGGTACTTAGACTTTCTACTCTTGACTGTGGGAAAAAATTGTATCCCTTTGTAATGTACACCTGAATGATATCATTTAGAAGGTCACCACGGTAACTTTGAACATGGGTATGTTTATCCTTATCTCTAAAATATAGTTTCACAGGGGTGGTAAGGCTAGATGGAGAATTATATTGTTAGGTGACATGGAGTTGAGCATGACTCATAGCGACCCTATAAACAAAAGATCTGAACCCTGTTCTATCTTATGCCATCCTCACGCTTCCTCAACGCAGGAGCTCACTGCAGCAGTCACCGTATCAGTCCACCTGGTTGAGGGTCTCCTCTCCCTTGTCGACCCTCCACCTTTCCCAATATCATGGCCTACTTCTCTAAGGAAGAGCACCTCCTAGCAACATGTCCAAAGTGTGTGAGGTAAAACCTCATCATTCTTTCCTCCAAATAGCACTCTGGCTGTACAATCTTCAAAACATCTGTTGGTACTCTTGGCAGTCCGTGGGATGTTCAGTGCTCTTCTTCAACACCACACCTTAAGGCATCAGTTCTTTTTCTGTCATCCTTATTCATTGTCCACGTCTCCAATGCATAGTTAGTAATCAAAAAGACTGTGGCCTGAATCAGACACACCTTAGTCCTCAAACTGCCGTCACTACCCCTCAGTAATTTAGAAAAGTCCCCAATTGCATATTTTCTCATTGCAATGCATCTCTTTATTTCCTGATTGCTTGTACCAACGGTGTTAATTGTGGATCCAAGCAAGATGAAGCTGTTGACAGTTTCAGTCTCCTCTCCATTATGATGCTGCCTGTAGACCACATTTATTTCCATCAAAAGAGCTGTAGTTATGCTCAGAAAGTTCTTTATTGTTTAATTATGTTCAGTACTTAATAGCTTTTGAGGTTTTGTAAACATTTATACTCTTAAATAGTGTATCTGTGAAACTGAAGCAGCAGTAATTAACTTTATTATCCTCCAGACTTTCTTGAACAACAGACTTTCTTACAATAACAATAATAAAAATTTCTCTAAGGGAAGAAATAATGTCCTGCCTATAGGCCAGCCCCTTTATCTCATAGGAAAATATTTGAACTTTGCCCTGGAGGCTGAGTGGGAACACAGGATGGTAAGAATGCCAAGCAAAGACAGACAGAAGAAGGCCGTGTGGTGGAAAAAGTGAAGGATTTATTGTTTGAAGAACTAGGTTCCTATTTCTACACTGTCATTTCACTGACATGACCTGACAAATTAACTTTATGAGCCATGGTTTCCGCTTCTGCTAAACTGAGACATTTCTTACCTCATAGGCATGTTAAAGTTAAGTGGGAAAATATGTGTGCAAACTGTTTTGTACGCTGGCTATGGTTATTTTGTGACTACTTGGATTAAAATGCTACCTCATTATAAACAAAAAAAGTCTTTTAAAAATTATTATTAGTATAAAGTAGTGTATCTACACTGTAGACTAGGAAATAAGCATTAGCAACAATTTGAATAGTCCAGTAGTATTTATTCACTCATATCTTTATATGTCACTATGTCTGCATTCATATACATACAATATTCTAAGCCTGATGTCTGTCTCTACTCACTGTCTGCTCCTGATAACTTGTCCACAGTATGTGAGATGAAGTCTTAGCATCCTTATTTTTAAGGAGCTTTCTGGCTACACTTCCAAGACAAATTGGCTTGTTCTTTTGGAAGCCCATGGTATATTCGATGTTCTTTGCCAGCACCACAATTAAAATGCATCCGTTCTTGGATACTCCTGCTGTTGTTATGTGCCGTTGAGTGAACTGCAGCTCGTACTGACCCTGTGAACAACAGAATGAGAACTGTCAGTCTTGTGCCAACCTCTTACTAATCATGCTGCTCTTTCTGTTGTTATGTGCCGTCGAGTCGCCTGAGACTCATAGCAACCCTATATACAACAGCCCTAAAACCTGCTCTATCCTGTGCCAATCTTATTGTCTCAGAAACAGCTACTCACATTGCTCTAGTCACTGAATCAATCCATCTCATCAAGGGTCTTCCTCTCCTACGCTGTCTGTCCACCCTCCCAAGCTTGACATCCCTCTCCAAGAACTGGTCCCTCCTTGTAACATGTAAAATATGTCAGACAGAGCTTCAGAATCCTTGCCTCCAAGGAGCAATGTGGTTTCACCCTCTCCAGGATGAACCTGTTTTTCTCCTGGCAGGTTATGGTAAATTCAGTACTCTTCTCCAGCACCACAGATCTAAGGCATCAATTCTCCTATCATTGTTCAGCTTTCTGACCTATAGCAGGTCATTGCAAAGACTATGGCCTGGATCAGGTGCACCTTAGTCTCCAGACTGACATCGTTCCTCTTAAGTACACTGGAGAGGTCTCTGACAGCAGACTTTCCCAATGCAGTTTGTCTTTTAATTTCCTGGCTTCTGGTACCAAGAATTTTGATTGAGGAGATAAGGAAACTGAAGTTGTTAACAATCTCAATCTCTTCACCATCTATCATGATGATGCCAGTCAGCCCAGTGGTGAGAATCTTTGTTTTCTTGATGTTAAGCTTCAGTTCATATTGAAGGCTGCTGTCCACTAATCATGTTAGATTCCTTTTTTCTCTTGTGCCATTTTAAGTGACTCCTTATCCTGTCTTTTCCTTGAACATGGGATGGAATCTTCAATAAATTTAGGCCCACGATAAACATCAGTGTTTTTGAGGTAATTAGGGGAGCTCTGGTGCCCAAATGGGTAAGGAGTTGTATATGTAAACCAAAGGCAGGTGGTTCAAATTCACCAGCTGCACTGTGGGAGGAAGAAGATGCATTGTATCTCATGCAGTTTATAGCCCATGAAAACCTGATGGAGAGTCAGCTATGAGTTGATTCCAGGTTGAAAGCAATGAGTTTTATTTTGTTTTAAACAAATTCAAAGAGTTTCTGATTCCTTCCTCTTTTGTGACTCTTTGGTCCTGCTGTGTGGTTGCCTAAAAATGTACTTTGTCACTTGTTTAGAGTGGAGAGCAGTGGTTTTAGGTCAAATGCTGTTAATACCTAATAAAATTTTGGCAAAGATCATAAAAATCATGCAGGCCTTGGCAGTATTTTCTTCCACTGTGTGTCGGGTTCCCTGCAAATTAAACGGATTTAATAGCTCCTAACAAAACAAAACAAACCCCACAATATATGGGAATGGAATGTATGAAACACAGTGTGAGTAATGTGTGAAATACAATGTGTATGAACAAAACACAAAGTATATGTATTCGTGTATGTGAACCAATATGAAGTAAAAATAATTAAAAAAAAATTTCAAGGTAACTGACAACTCTAAAATGATTAAATTCTGAATGATGATAGTCTCTTTTACTTTCTCCTGTCAAAGTATATTTTTATTAGTATTTTTATGATTATATACATTGTACTTCATGTATGTACATTGTGTTTTATACAGTTTTTCATTTACATTATATTTTGACTACTCAATGGGCCCTTGTGTATCAGGAAGTATCAGGACGATGCTAGATAGACAGGGTTTATATCTTTTCATAGGGTCACTATGAGTCATACTCGACTCAACAGCACCTAACAACAAAAACATTAAGATATTTTTTGTACTTTGATTTAATAATATAGTTGTACTAACTTTCTTTTTTTCTCCCCTTCTAATAAAACTCAACACCAAAATCTAAGATTTTTTTTTCAGAAGTCCCAAGTATTTTTGTGTTATCTTGCTTATTTTCCTTCTGTTTTCAGTGTCAGAAGTATACAATGACAGTGTTTTTCTGTGTAAGAGTAACTGCAGTTTTCTTCTTTGTTGATGTGTTTGACTTCCTAAGAATATTTACCTCATTTTTTGAGACTTTTTGGTTCTTGGTGAATGACAGCCTCACTTTTCAATTTGAGAGTGTCTCTTTAGTTTTTCCACCTTATGTCTTGATTCCAAAGGCGATTGGTGTGTTGTTGAGGTTTGGGTTTATGGGGGTGACAGGAAATGAGTGTTCAGCTGGAGGCGGCCTGCCATAGGGGACAATAAAGGGCATTTGGCAGGCGGGTTGTGGTTCATCTGCCTCAGTCTTTATAGGTGTTGTGTTCTCGTAATTTGGGGTTCTGCTTTTACTGGTATTTTAATGATTTCATGTCATTGTAGTGATTCTGATTTAACTGATCCTTTCATTTAGTCTCAGAGACCTAAGCCAGGATAGTTTAGGTAAGCCTTTTTAAACTGTTTTCCAGTTTTCATTTGGTAGGTGGGATTGATTGCTTTCAGTTGGTTAGACGCCCCCCTCCTTGTTTTTGAATATGTGCTTATATCTTAAAATATGTAGAATTTAGTCTTTAGCCTCAATTTAGAGGTGAAGATAGTGACCTCAGAAGTCCTTAGGGTTGAATTTATTATTTGATGAAAGTTCTTGAACTCTAACCCGTTACTTTGATTGAGTCAGGTGGGTTGGGTTTTTGGTACGTGGTCCCCCGCACCCCTCATTTTTAGATAGCATTCCTATTTTCATTTTTAGAGGTCAGATTACTACTCAGTTAAATAATAGCTACAGTGCTTGAAGTTCCATTTTCTTATTCTTAGAATGAAGATAAGGTTGTACTACAAAATCACTTTCGAGCTTGCTACCTACCACATTTTACTTAAGGTATTGTTTGTACCGTTGAGTCAGAACCGATGCATAGCTGACCCTTCAGTGTATTTTTCAGAAACCATAAATTGCATGTGAGAATATTGCCATCCTTCTCTTACAGAGATTCGAACCGAGTGCCTTTTGGTTGGCAGCATGCCACCTTACCACTCAGCCACCAGAGCTCCCCAGTACATACTTAGAGCATTGTTCTAATATGGCTTAATCTAGCCACCTAGACTTTTCACCTATATCTGTACAGTGCTAATTCTTTATGTCTTTCAGTTTTCACTTGTACTAAGTAAGAACTGGCCTTTTTATAGCCAGTTCAAACCCAGACCCCCACCCCCTCATCCTTTCAGGTTCATCTCAAGTCCTGATTTCATTGTGAAACCTTCCTGCATGGATCTGACATGAAGACTGTCATATCTAACACATCTGACTTCAAACATTTTCATAGTAAGCTTCTTTCCTCCTCCTTAGCCACCTTGTCAGGCAGGAATACTTTTGAGATTTCAGTTCATTTTTGACTCTTGGCCTCCTCAACTTTTTAAAAAAATCAAATACTGTACAACCAGCCTTTTTCTTTTATATTAAACACCACAAGTGTTTAACTGCCTATTTGTCTGGCAATGTGTTAAGGATTTTAGAGAGCTATTCACCAACTGAAAATCTTATGTTTTAGAAATGTGTTGTTTTAGCTGGTAATTAAGCTGCTGTGCATACAAACAGGAAGGGAGCTCGGGTGGCCTAGTGGTAAGGAGTTGCACTGGCAACCCATCATTACATGGTTTGAATCTACGAGCTACTCTTTGTGAAAAAAATGGCAGTCTCCTCCTGTGAAATTAGCTGCCCCTGAAGGGTCAACTATGGGTCAGTTCCAACTTGACAGTACACAATAACAGCCACCACCACCCCGTAGAACAACAACAACGTAACCCATAGAAAGGGAGCTCTTGTAGTACGTGATGTTATCTGAGTGCTGGATGACAGCTCTGTGGGCAAAGAAAGACGGGCAGTCTCCAAAGATTTACAGCCATGACACCCTCCTGAGGGTTACTGTGAATCGGAATAGACTTGGCAGCAGTGAGTAGGGTTTGGTACCAGAGAGCCCCAGTGGTACAGTGGTTAAAGGTTCAGCTGCGAACTGAATGATTGATAGTTTGAACCTACTACCTACTCCAGGGTAGGAAGATGTGGCCATCTACAGCCTTGGAAACCATATAGGGCTACTATACTCTGTCCTCTTATAGGGTCCCTGTGAGTCAGCATAGTAAATATTTATGATAGATAGATAGATAGATAAACAAACAGATAGGCAGGCAGGCAGACAGACACACAGCCAACACAGAGGTATGTGGTTCAAACCCACCAGTTGCTCCACGAGAGAAGAATGAGCAGTTAGCTGCTGTGTGGTTCACTGCCTCTGAACACCTGCTGGAGGGTCAGCAATGATCAGTCCCAAGTCGACTTACACGACAACATCATAGGAAGCACAAACTTTTTTTATCTAGGAGTGTCATATTTTGTTAGAGAACACTTGGTAAAGGGCTAAACCAAAATGCCTGCTCATTTTTCCAACCTTTGGAACTTTTCAGAGCATGCCAGAAGAACATCACATCATGGGCAGTTTATAATGCTGTGTTCCACAGTGTGATTATGATTATGACAAAGTATGCAGAATTTGTTTTCTTTGTAGAGTAATTGATATATCTCTTACACCCCTGTTTTGTTACTTACCCATTGCCGCTTTCTTCAGACTCTTCAGAAATTTTTGTTACTTCATTGCTAATCAATGATTTTGGGGGGCAAGTCAGAGGAGGGAGAGGTGTCCATACATAATCAAAATTCTTATTGCTGTTTTGTTGTAGAGACTTGTTCTAACTTCACTTAGGCTATTTAATTTCTTAGTTTTAGATGGGATCCTTAGTTTCAGCTGAAATAGTAGGAAAAATTAATTTTTAAAAGGGTTAAAACCTTTCTGAATTAGTTTTCCTTTTTGATTTATAAGATTGTTGGCATTAGTGAGAGTATTCAAATTTGAATTGTTCCAACTTCTTGTCATGGGTGGGCTTGCGAGCTAAGTTTTAATTGCCAGCAAGAATACTATTTTTTACTGGTTCACTTGTAACTCTGTTCCTTTCCAGGATATCTACAGGGAAATGGGATTTGGTTACTTTGAAGAGGAAGAAAACTGTTGGGTGAAAGAAAAGCCTGAGAAAAGGGATCGACCTCAAAACCAGAGTCGTAGTCGATCTCGAGAAAGTGGTGGCCATTATAGTAACAGTCACAAGTCCAAGTACCGCATGGATGACAGGGGCAAAAAGAGAGACCGGAGCAGGAGCCCACAGAAATCCAAAGAAATCCCCAAAATGATGTACCGGTGAAAGATGAAGAGTCCGAGATGAGTGGTATAACATTATTTACTCTGTCTAAGTTAGAGTGCCAGGAAAGCAGGTATTCAGATTTTTTGCAAAGCAGATAAAGATTTTGCTTGTTACTGTTTTTTTGGTGTGTTTTTCTTTTTTTTTTTTCGTAGCAAGAGTGTAGCCCTTTTAGAATGCTGTTCATATTTAGGGCACTGAAAGATAATAAAAGATTTAACATTTTCTTTGCACTCTTTTTTTACACTAATTTTTTTTTTCATTCACTCATTTATTTCAGTTTGTTATAATCCACACATCAAATGCTTTTGCATAGTTAGTAAAACACAAGGCAGAAAAGAGGAACAAGGTAGAGAGAAGGGAAAGGAAAAGAGCTAAGAGGGACAAGATGGGCGGAAGAAATGGAAAAAGTACCACCACCAAAACCACATGATAACAAAGATAAAAATCAAACGAGGAAATAAAAACTCAAAAGGCGACAAAAAATTAAAATGAGCGAGAAAAGAGAGGCACTCTGCAGGAGGGTGGGCTGCGATTAGTGGAGACAGTGTATCTGTTCTGGTCTTTTTTTTACACTAATTTTTAAAGTCACATTTTCTGCTCTTCCTTTGTTGTGAAGTATTCTACATCTATAAGAAATGCATAAACGTGTATATAAGGTATAAAAAAAATATATAGTAGTCAACCAATTCAAGAAATTGGTATTTTAGAAATTAGCATTTTAGAAGTTTCCTGTTTTTCCTTTAAGTAATTATTCCGGATTTTGTGTTTCTCATTCTCTTGCTTATTGGATTTTTAAAGAAGTTTTATAATGTATAATATATCCATAAATGAGACTGTTAAGTTTTGTATGCATAATTTTATATACGCAAAATCACTGTTACCTGCATTTATTCACTTTAGTATTTTTTGAATCATTTCTTTTTACCACTATCTGATTGTTTTGTATGAATATAACAATTTATTAAGTTTTCTGTTTATGAAGTTGGGTTTTGTGTTTTGGTTTTTTTTCTCTCTCTTGCAACATTACTACTAGAACATTTTGTGTCTGGGAATGAAATTATTTGATGCTGTGTGGGTATCTTCATCTTTACAAGATAAAGTCGCTGTACCAATTTATACTCTTTTGGCAGTATGTGATAAGTAGTTTCAATAATTTGTTACCTTAATAATATGCAGCATTTGTTAATTTTAAAACTTTACCAATGTAATGGATGCTAAGTGGTATTTTCCAGCAAGAAGACACTGCCATCCTTTGTTGTTCTGTGTATAAATGTGTAATTTTTTTCCCTACCTCCTTGTAATGTTTTCTGTTTGTCATTGATTTTAAGCAATTTCATTATTAACGGACTTGGCATAGGGGCTCTTGTGTTTCTTCTGATTGGGATTATTGGATCTGTGGGTTATGGTTTCACCAAATGGTGAAATTTTTGGCCATCATATCTTCAATTATCTTCTGTCCTTCCCCTTCCTTTCCCCAACTCCTCGCCTCCAGGACTCCAGTTATATGTGTCTTAGGCCACAGGAATTATTCCACAATACACACCTGCACTGGTCTCTTTTGTTTGCATGTTTTAACATTTGTTTTCTATTTTATATTTAGGAGTTTTCATCACTGTGTTCTCATAGTCACTGCCCTTTTCTTCTAAAGTAACTAGTCTCCAAAGATGGATAATCTCTCATGCAACTTGGAGTCTGCAAACCTGCGAGAGGGCTAGCTGTGAGTCAGTTCTGACTCGTCAGCACATGGTAACAACATTGCTTTTGGGTCAGAATCAACTCATAGCTGAGCTCCCGTTGAGTGAATTTCCAAGGCTGTAAACTGCACAGGAGGAGTGAAGTCTGTAAACTGTCCATCTTTCTCCCTCAGAACTGCTGGTAGATTTGAACCATGACTAAGGCATGACCTTTGAGTTAGCAGCACGACACTTTATGGACAAGGTCACTAGAGCTCCATTAAGCTAGCAGAGGGCATTTCTCTGTCCATTCTAGCATCTGGATCATTCTGGCCTGTTTTATGATTACTTTTCCCCCCACCTCATTAAACAGCTTAAATTTGGGGGGCGGGGGTCGTGTAGGGAGGCTGGTAATTTTTGGTTGGTAAATTTTTAGTTTTAGATTGACCTCAAAACCAAAGTTACAGATGTCAAGAAAGGGTTAGACACTACAGTAATAGTCATAAATCCAGGTGTTTGATCATATGTTTTTATGATGTAGGCAGCACGAGGACAACTGCTTCTGACCTCTCAACTCTCTCAAAGGGAACTGCCCCCATTAACAACATGCATAGTACAAAATCAATTCCTGTAAAGTCAGACATGGTCACCATGCTCCTGCACCTACTGGTACTATTAAAACACCAATATTACTACTTTACTGGGTCCGAAGTCTATTGCAGTGACCACACAGATCTTAGAACCGGACTTACAGTCAGGTGATTTATTAGGGAAATTAACCAGTTACAATTAAGGTTGGCAGCAACATACAATTCCTCCATCCAGCCAGCCTCAAGTGTGCTTGTAGCCCTTTGATATTCAGCTTCATGGTTTAGGTCAATATTACATAGTTTCCTTAGTCTTGTGATTATGGCAGTTTCCCTTTCTCCCCCAGCAATCTTGGGTGAAGGCCTTTGACCTTGACTCCAGGAGACACCAGTCCCAAGTTAGCTGGCCCATGTCGGTCTCTTGTGGTCTCCTGTAACTTTTGTGTGGATTCCAGTCTTGCTGGTGCAGGGATTTCTGAAGGACAAGTGCTTCCTCTTTGCTGGTGGTAGATTCCAGTCTCTCTGGTGTAGGAATTTCTGAAGGACAGGTGCTTCTTCTTTGCTGGTGGTGAGATTCCCGCCTCCATTGCTAAATCTACTAATTTTATACTTGACGGTATAGGAAAAGATGACAATGATTGTACGTATCCTATTTCCCACTCAATAAGTGAAAAGTCAGAAGACAATTGATGCCTTTAAATTGTGTTAATAGAAAAGAGTACTGGATATCCCATGGACTGCCAAAGGAACAAAACAGGTGCCTTGGAGAAGTTGCAGCTGTAGTGCGACTTGGAGGCAAAGATGATAAAACTTCGTCTCACTTCAGGCATGTTTCTAGGGGGCAACGCTTTTCCTTAGAGAGGGACATGATACTTGGTAAGGTGGAAGGTCTGCGAAAGAGAGACCTCCAGCCAGATGGATTGGCACAGTGACTGCTTTAATGGACTCAATTTAGGACATGTGAGGATGGCACAGGATAGGACAGTGTTCAGATCTCTTGTTCAGAGGGTCACTATGAGTGTTAGTCAGTGGCACTTAACACAATAAATAACATTCCCACTTATATGACAGTAAAAGTCAATAGCTTGGAAAGCCGTCTTGAACAATGAACCCTTGAGAGCACATCCGTGCTTCTCAGAGCAGGACTATGTTGTGCAGTTTTATAAGACTGACTTAGGAAGTAGTTCCCCATGCTTCTTTTAGGTTACCTTTGGGTTGGCTCAAACTATCAACCTTTTTGATGGTAATTAAGTGTTTAACTATTTATGTCACCCAAAGACTCCTTGGTGATGGTGGTGGTGGTTTTGCCATCAAGTTGGAGCCAGTTCATAGCTGACCCTCCAGGAGTAAATCACGTGGGACAAGATTGCCCATCCTTCTCCTGTGGAACCGCTGATGGAAGCTTCTTACCACGAGGCCACCAGAGCTCTTTCCTTTCACGGGGTGGAGTAGAACTGCCCAGAGGGTCTCCAGCATTCATCTTTATGGAGGCAGATGCCCACATCTTTGTCCTGCAGAGCAGCTGGTGGCTTTAAACCGCTGACCTTTTGATTTGCAATCAGTCACTTAACCACTGCACCACTGGGGCTGATGTTAGGATGCCAGTCGTGAATTTTACATTGTTGTTGTTATGTGCCGTCAAGTCGCTTGCGACTCATAGCGACCCTATGTACAACAGCCCTAA